ACTGACCAGCGCTGACTACAGGAAGCCCGAGGCAGAGTTGCTCTGCCCCAGGCTTCCTGGAATCAGCGCTGATCAGTTTCAGCAGTAGCTGACTTGGGGAAGCTTGGGGTTCTTAAGTTGAATCTGTATGTAAGTCAGAACTGGCAGTCAGTTTCAGCAGCGGCTGAATCTGGACGCCAGTTCCGACTTACATACAGATTCAACTTAAGAACAAACCTACAGTCCCTATCTTGTACGTAACCCGGGGACTGCCTGTATATCATTCTTCTATGTAAAGTTAGAAATATGAGGCATAGAATGGTTTATGGTTTTAAATGTGCAAATGAAAGCCATCAAGGGTGTCTCCTATTTATATGGCTTGTAAATAGCTTTATATTGTTTCTTAAGTTTGAGTAGTGGTTAGTCATGGAAAGACATGTGACCAAATTATACTGGTATACCAGTTTAATCGGGTAATTTTCCATGGAAGAGGGTCTGTGTAAAAGGATTCCCACCCAAAAGGAAGTCTATTTAAGCTGGAAAGCTATCAGTCTCTCTGTCTTTGGCTGGCATGACACACCCAAGTGGACAGACGAGGATCTGAGTCAAAGTAAAAGATCTCTGGCTTGAAGGCTTCCCTGAAATAAAGTCAAATTACAAAAGATGAATATAAGCAAACAACACAGGCATGCAGGGGCAAGATTAGAAAGGCAAAGGCACAAAAAGAGCTAAATCTAGCTAGAGGCATAAAGGGTAACAAGAAGATGTTCTACAAGTATATTAGGAGGAGGAAGACCAAGGACAGGGTAAGCTCATTGCTTAGTGAGGAGGGAGAAAGTCACAGGAAACTTGGAAATGGTAGAGGTGCTTAAATGACTTCTTTGTTTTGGTTTTTGTCAAGAAGATGGATGGTGACAGGATGCCTAACATAGTTAGGAATGTTAGTAGGAAGGGGGTAGATTTTGAAGATAAAACAAAAAAAGAACAAGTTAAAAATGACTTTAAAAAGTTAGATGTCTGAAAGTCACCAGGACCTGATGAAATGCATTCTAGAATACTCAAGGAGCTGATAGAGGAGGTACCGGAATCTTTGGTTATCATCTTTGAAAAATCATGGAAGTCACGAGAGATTCCAGAAGACTGGAAAAGGTTGCCCTTCTATAAAAAGAGAAATAAGAACAACCCAGGAAACTACAGACCAGTCAGTTTAATTTCTGTGCCAGGAAAGATAATGGAGCAAGTAATTAAGGAAATCATCTGCAAATATCTGGAAGAAAATAAGGTGATAGGTAACAACCAACAAGGATTTATAAAGAACAAATCATGACAAACCAATCTGACAACTTTCTTTGATAGGATAACAAATCTTGTGGATAAAGAAGAAATAGTGGATGTGGTATACCTAGACTTTAATAAGGCATTTACAGTCTCTCTTGACCTTCTTATCAATAAACTAGGCAAAAACAACTTAGATAGGGCTACTATAAGATGGGTGCATAACTGGCTGGATAACAGTTCTCAGAGAGTAGTTATTAACGGTTCACAATCATGCTGGAAGGTCATAACAAGTGAGGTTCCACAGGGGTCTGTTTTGGGGTCGGTTCTGTTCAATATCTTCATCAATGATTTAGATCAGCGCTACTCAACATGCGGCCTGCGGTCCGTGGTCTGTTTGTTTGTGGCCCATGGTGTGGTTTGGGTAAACCCGGGGCTCAACACGCTGCCTGTGGGTGGGATCCTTTGAACATGGCCTCCACTGGGAACATGCTCCACAACAGTGAGTCAATACAATGGTTTTCTGTCGATATTCGTTTTAGTAGTTAAATTCCTGGACTGTCATTGCTTATTAAAAATGCTGTCATATAGGTGAAAGTCGGGTAAAGATTGCATTTTATTAATATCAGCAGAACTAACTTAAATGGGGCCTGTGTGTTGTATAGTCTTGCCTTAATCTTTGTATTCATGCCCGTCAGTGTGAAAGAAGCTATTTGTAACCTCATATATGCAACCTCAGCATGTGCTGTATCATTGTGGCCCCAGGGTTTCCAAAGTAAGGATGTTAAAATGCGGTTAATTGTCTAGTTGATTAGTCGATAAGCACGTCTGCATTCCTCCTTTGAATGGGGCTCTTGCACATTTCAAAGGGAGTATGAGGAACTCTGTGTATTGCCCAGGATCAGCGGGAAGTACTGCTGACTCTGGGCACCAGGACTGAGCACACAGCAGCCCTACCCCCGGGCGCCCAGCAGCCCCAAAAGTTTGGGGACCACTGATCTAGGGTATGCAGGCATGACTCTTTCAGTGAGGAATGGCATTTTGGATAGAACGTCGGTAGGCTTATTAACATAAGAACGGCCGTATTGGGTCAGACCAAAGGTCCATCTAGCCCAGTATCCTGTCTATTGACAGTGGCCAGCACCAGGTGCCCCAGAGAGGGTGGACCGAAGACAATGATCAAGCGATTTGTCACCTGCCATCCCTCTCCGACCTCTGACAAACAGAGGCCAGGGACATCAATTTTATTCCCTGGTTAATAGCCTTTTATGGACCTAACCTCCATGAAATTATCTAGCTT